TTTTCATGCAAGCAGTTCAGAGACAGATATTACAAAAGCCATCAAACTGAGACGAGAAAATGGGCAGATGAAAGCTACAGACACTGCCATGAAAAAGAACATCAGAAAGAACTACAAACCACTGAGTAAGCAGAAATCAGAGGAAGAGTTCAAGGATAAGAACCAGCTTTTAGAAGCCGTCAATAAGCAATTGCACATAAAGTTGACTGAAACCCAGGGAGAATTGAAAGACCTGACTCAGAAGATGAAGCTGCTGGAGACGTTTCAGGACAACTGTTTGGCAATTTTGGAGAGCAAGGGCATAAACCCAGTTTTAGGAAATGAGTCCCTCGCAGCACAAGAACCCACTACCGATCACATGGAGTCTATGTTGCTGTTAGAAACTTTGCAAGATGAGTTGAAGCTTTTTAATGAAACCGCCAAAAAGCAGATGAAAGAGTTACAGGCCTTAAAGGTAAAGTTGAAGACGAAAGAAGAAAGGATCCAGTTCCTAGAACAGCAAAGCATATGTAACAATCAAGTAAATGATTTTACAACTGCCCTTGAAGAAATGGAGCAGCTATTAGAAATGTGATGATAAAAAAGGGAAGTGGCCAAATGGCTCCCTCTCGGAATAAATGCTTTGAGGAAGCCACTTAGGACATGTGCTTCTTGGACATGACCTGGGACTCACCATCCCCTGAATGAAAACAGCTTCTGTGGTAGGACTAAGGAAAGGTTTATAGAGGAATGGCAGCTCCTTTCTTAAGCAAGTGCTCCCATCAGGCAGATTGGCCACCTCTCCCGAGCCTCACGCATAGGTAATTGAGGCTTGCAAGAAGGGAGGACGTGGAGGCTTGGATAACATAGGCCACAAAGCTGCACACCACTAGAACTGGGAGACTAGCCCCAGCCAGAGGGCCTAAGATCACATTGACATTTGGGGAAGAAAACCTTAATTGTACAGTAGAGCACAGGTGCTCCACAAGAGACACGGTTGAGGAACCACGCAGCCCCCTTCCAGCCTCTAGCACATTCTGTCCCCTCCTGGTTGGGCTTCTATTCTTCATTGTAAATTTGTCAACTTGAAGTTGCTTTAAATGGTTTAGTTTAATAAAAAAAATAGTATTCCATTATGTGAATGCACGACAATTTCTCAATCCATTCTTTGTTGATGGGCTTTTTGGGTTTTCTCTTTCTTTCTTTTTTGCTATTGTGAATAATGCTATTATGAACATAGGCAGACAAATGTTCATTCGTGTCTAATTTCTGATTTCCTTGGGATATCTACCTAGGTAGGCTAGCAAGGTCTTATGCGATTTCCATGTTCAGCCTTTTTTACCAAATGCCAACCACCTTTCATAGTGGTTTGTATCATTTTACAATTCCACCAGCATTGCATAACAGTTCCAATCTCTCTGCATTCTCTCCAACATTTATTGCTTGCTGTCCTGCTAAACTTTGTTACTGGCACTGGAATGAGATGGTATCTCATTGTTATTTTTATTTACATCTCTCTGCCAGTGATTTTGAGCATTTCTTCATCTATTTGTTGGCTGTACAGATGTCTTCCTGAAGAGTATTTCTAGATCTTTTGCTTATTTTGTGATTGTTAGTCTTTTCCTTGTAAAGAGCAACAAGAAAGTGGGAGAGTATTACAAGACAGAGAATATAAAACCAATACAAAACTAGAAGTAACAGAATAGCATGAAAATGCAATTCAAAACATCAAAACTAAAATGGTAAAAATTCACAATATGAGGGAAGGAGGGAAGTGGAATAGAAGAGATGAAACAGAGAATCAGCAAATTAGAAGAACCTCAATGAGAACTTGTTATGTGCCATAGAGTCCCCTGTGATGCAGAGTGGCCCTTTATACAACAGCCCTAAAACCTGCTCTGTCCTGTGCCAATCTCACTGTCTCTGACACACCTACTCCCATTACCCCAGTCACTGAATCAATCCACCTCATAGAGGATCTTCCTCTCCTGTACTCTCCCTCCATCCTCTCAAGCATGACGTGCTCTCCAAGGACTGGTCCCTCTTTGTAACATTTCCAAAGTATGTCAGATGAAGCTTCAGAATCTTTGCCTCCAAGGAGCATTCTGGTTTAACCCTCTCTAGGATGAATCTGTTTATTTTCTTAACAATGACAACTTACAAGAAGAAAAAATAGTGAAAAGACTGAAGGAGAATGAAAAAAAACCTCATTAGAATTAGGTGAACTAACATCAAACAAAACAACATACATGTGATTGAAATTCCAGTATATGAGGATAAACAAGAAGAAACACTGGAAAATATTGTGGAGTAGATACTAGAAGAAAACTTTCTAAGTGTCATTAAAAATCAGTGAATGCCATACAGACTAGATGCAAAATAAAAACATCAAGGCATATCTTTGTAAAATTGTCCAAAATTACAGAAAAGGACAGAATAATTGAAAGCAGCATCAGAATAACAGAACACCTACAGGGGAGAATTAATTAGAGTAAACTCTGACCTTTTCAAAGTAATCATGCAAGAAAGGAGATAATGGAGTATATACGTTATATACAGAAGGTTGAAAGAAAACAATTTCCAGACAAAGATCATGTACCCATCAAAGCTGTCACCAAATATGAGGGATAAATTAGGTCATATGTGTAAAAGCATGAACTTAATGAATTCGCAAAAATATAACCAACTCTACAAGAAGTACTAAGAGAAGTCCTTCACACAGAGACAGAAGAAGAAAGTGGATGGACCAAAATAACCAGCAATAACAAAAAAAAAGGAACACTGCAAAATGACAATGATGAAACCAGGCATAAAAATAATCACATTCAATGAAATTGATTTAAACACACCAATTAAGAGAAAAAGAGTACCAGAATATATTTTTAAAAACCCAAATTCCATCAATATGTTGCCTGTAAGAGACATACTTAACAAGGAGAAAGACAGACTAAAAATCAAAGGCTTAAAAAATATACCAAGCAAATAGCAATCATAATAAAACAGAAGTGGCAGTACAAAACTCTGATAAAATAGATTTCAGAATAAAAACCACCATAATTAAGAAGGAAGGTCATGATATAATGATTAAAGGCACAATAGATCAAGAGGATATATCCTTAGTTTATATCTATGCAACTAATGATAGGTCTGCAAAATACATAAAGCAACTTGAAAAAGACATAAAATGGACTTTAGGAAAGAAATATAAAACAGTACTAGTAGTCGGAGATTTCAACACACTATTCTTACCAGCCAACTCAGCATCACAGATGCATTCAGGTACAACAACAACAACAACAAATCGATGTACTTTCTTCTCAAGTGCACACAGTACATTCTCTAGAAATGACCACAGATTAGAACATAAAGAAAGCTTCAATAAATTAAAAAAACATTGAAATAATACCAAGTATCTTCTCAGACCACAATGTCATTATGCTAGAAATTACCAACAAGAGAATAAAGGGGAAAAAAGAATCCTCAAGTGAAAGTTAAATAACACCTTACTTGAGCACAACTGTGTTATAAAAGAAATAAAATTTGATGTAAAAATTCATCAAAATTCATGAAAATGAAAATATAACATATCAAAACCTGTAGGATATAGATAATGCAGTCCTTGGGGGTCATTTGATAGCAGTAAGCAAACACATAGAACAAGAGAGAAAAAAAATAAACTACTTAATACCTCTATCAAATATAAAAAGAGCAGCAGGCTAACCTGACAACCTCTAGAAGAAAGGAAATTATAAGAATAATGGCTGAGGGGAGCTCTGGTTGCCACTAGGCAGGAAGCTGCACTGCAATTACAGAGGCTCGGTTCTAATCCACCAGAGGCTCTGCTGGAGAAAGAGGGGCAATCTCCCCCTGTACCAGTCGGATCCCAATTGACGGCAAACACACATACAATAATTAAAAAAAAAAATTAAGAAACAAAAAAACGCCCTGTGGTTCTGATCTATATTTTCCCTTTTTTAATTTTAAATTTATTTTAATGAAAGTTTACAGAGACTTTGGATTTCTATTCATTCATTGTTGCACTTTTCTCCCTGCCTACCCTTCTCCCAATTCACTTTCTTTTTGAAAAGTAAAAGAAGAAACTCTTTCATTGTTATTCAATCCCTCCTCCCCAGTCCATTTCACTATGCTACCTTCGTTCCAGACTCCTATCATAACAATAATATCTAATCATTTAAACAATTCTTTCCCTCATCTGTTTCAATTCAGTATACATTATTTATTCCATCTTTCTCAGTATCCCCCCAACGCCTTTGTCAGTCCTCTTTTATAACAGTGGCATTTGTCTTTTTGTGACTGAGATATTTCACTCTGCATAATGTCCTCCAGGGTCATCCATTTTGTGTGATATTTCATGAGTTCCTTGTTTTCAATGCTGCATAGTATTCCATTGTGTGAATATACCAGAGCTTCTTCACCAAAGAAGACATTCAGATGGCCAACAAACACATGAAAAAATGTTCAAAATCTCTAGCTCTAAGAGAGATGCAAATCAAAACAACTATGAGATACCATCTCACCCCAGTGAGCAAAATTTAACAGAACAGCAAATAACAAATGCTGGCGAGATTGTGGAGAAACTGGAACCCTTAATTCACTGTTGGTGGAAGTGTAAAATGGTGCAACCACTGTGGAAAGTGGTGTGGCACTTTCTCAAAAAGTTGCAAATAGAAATACCATTTGACCCAGCAATTCCACTACTGGGAATATACCCTAAAGAGACCATAACTGCCATCCAAGCAGATATATGCATGCCCATGTTTATCATGGCTTTGTTAACAATAAAGAGGAGTTGGAAGCAACCCAAGTGCCCATCAACAAATGAATGGATAGATTCTGATCTATATTAAAAAAAATAATGGTTGAAATAAAAACAACAACAAACAGAAAATGGATTAAAACCATAAAAAAAAACCAACCCAAGAGCTGGTTCTTTGAAGGGGTTAATAAAAATAGATAAACCACCTGGAACTGGCTGTCAGGAGGCACATGTTATGGATATCATGGGAGTTGACATCTGCCACAACAATGACAGAAAGGGTCTATCTTTAGGAACTCAAGAGCAGGCACTTCTACCTCAAGCTGTTGGTCAAGGGCTACAAGTTCCTGGCCGGACTAATCAACTCCACCACAAACTGATTCTGCTGAAAAGGCTGTTCATGAGCCACACCAACCAGCTGCCCCTTGTCTCTTTCTCAAAACCAGACAGCTGTGGTGGACAGGACTATAAGGTATGTTATCTGCAGTGTGAGAAGCAGGGCCAAAGCGGCATCCTCAAGGCTGGAGGTAAGATCTTCACCTTCAACCAGCTGGTCCTGGACTCATCCAAGGGCTGTGGCACTGTGGTGCTATCAGGGCCACACAAGGGTGCAGAGGTGTACAGGCATTTCAGAAAGGTGCCAGGTACCCTACACAGCCACACCAAACTATTTCCACTCCAAGATCCAGAATTGTGAATGGGCGGAGATCAAGAGCCAGCTGTGGCTACAAGAACTAACACTAGACCCTCCCTGTTATTAAAATCTTATTAAATGTTAAAAAATATATAAACAAACTACTAGCAAACTTAACAAAAGAAAAGAAAAAGACACAAATAGAGGTGATGTCATAACAGAACTCATCAAATTAATTCAATAATAATAGAATACTATGAAAAGCTATACTCCAATACACTGTGACGTTGATGAGTCAAATATGAGAATGGTTACCCAATCTGGACAGTGTTTGGTGGATCTCCCTAATTAAAACAAGCTTGGAAGCAGGAGTGGCATCCACTTCCATAGCTTGCCTCTAGAAACCCGATGAACCTGGAGAAAGGACGAAAGTTATACAAGTGTCCAGGACTTTCGTTCATATGGTTGCTATGAGTCGCCCACTACTCAACAGCACTTAACAACAACAACACCAACAACAGCATAGAGAGAGAGGGAGAGAGCAGTTGGCCTGGCGTACAGAAAGCCATACTCACAAGACAAAGGTGGGTGACTCTATTCCGTGGCCCTCAGGCCTGCCTTTAAATTTGTTTTTGATGAAACATTCTTCTAGGTCATATAACCCCGGTATGTCCACTTGCTGTACAGAGGTAACTCGTGGTTGCTGTGAAGCCAAATACTGTGACACTGATGAGTCAAATGCGAGAATGGTTACCCGTGGTGGACAGTGTTTGGTGGAGCTCCCTGATTAAAACAAGCTTGGAAGCAGGAGTGGCATTCACTTCCATTATAGCTTGATTCTGGAAACCCTATGAACCTGGAGAAAGGATGAAAGTTATATAGGTGTCCAGGACTTTCATTAATAGGGTCGCTATGAGTCACCTGAGACTAACCAGCACTTAACAACAACAACATACTCCAATAAATGGGAGTACCTAGAGGAAATGATGAATTCCAAGAAATCCAAAACTTAAATAAATTGACACAGACAGAAGTTAAATGCTTAACAGACTCATCACAAAAGGAGAAATTGAAAAAGTCGTAAAAAGACTTCCCTTCCAAATAAAAGACTTGGCCCAGATGGCTTTATGGTGAATTCTACCAAACATTAAGAGCTGAACTTTCACCAGTGCTATTTAAATTAATTTTAAAACTGAGAAGAAGAAGGAATACTCCCAGAGTCATCCTATAGGGCAAGCATAACCTTAATACCAAAACCAGGCAAAGATAAAACACACACAAAAAAACAAACAAAGCAAAACAACCAACAAACCCCCCAAACCCACTATAGACCAAGTTGCTCAATAATATAGATGCAAAGATCCGTAATGAAATATGGTCAATAGAATTCAACAGTATATAAAAATAATTCATAATGATGAAGTTAGATTCATAATAGGAATGCAGGAATGGTTCAACATAATAAAAAGAATTAATGTAATTCATCACATCAACAAAGCAAAGAACAAGAACCACATGATCTTCTCATGTATTTCCGGCATGTTGCTAGGAGAAGCTATTCCTTGGAAAGGTACATAAAGTTTGGAAAAGGGAACTCGATAAATTTCAGACTGCAGAAATTGGTAGAGATCTTCAATTTCCTAAACAAATTCTGGACAGATATTCACCTAAATATTAATTATGGGTTACAGGTAGCTTTTCATTTTCTTTTTGTGTTTTTCAATATTTTATGAAAAACTTTTAATAAATGTTATTATTTTGTTGTTAAATATGTCTTTCTTTTTGTTTTAGTAGATGTTTGAACAGCATACCAAATTAAATGGTAGGGAATATAAATTCTCTCAAATCTTTTCCTCCTAATTCCAGTCCACTTCCATCCAAGCCTCAATCACTCAATTGCTCTGGTAATCTCATCAAACTTCTGAATTTTCTATATACTTTTCCAGATATTCTTGTTATTGTTGTGTGCTGTCAAGTCATTTGCAACTTATAGCAACCCTTTGTACCACAGCTCAGAACCTTGCTCTATTCTGATTCAATCTTATTATCGCTGACACACCTATCCCCATTATATTAATACAGTCACCGAATTAATGAATCTCATCCAAGGTTTTAATCTCTTGTTTTGTCCCTCCACCCTCCCAAGAATGATGTCTCTCTCCAAGAATTGCTTCCTCCTTGCAATATGTCCAAAGTATGTTAGACGAAACTTCAGAATCCTTGCCTCCAAGGAGCAGCCTGGTTTCACCCTCTCCAGGGCGAACCTGTTTTTTCTCTTAGTGATCCATGGTATATTCAATACTCTTCTCCAGCACTGCAGCACAAAGGCTTCCTCCTTTTGTCATCCCTAGTAACTGTCCAGCTTTCTGATGCATAACAAATAATGGCAAAGATCATTACTTGCATCAGTTACAACTTAATCTCCAGACTGACATCTTCAGTACTCTGCAGTTTCTCTTCAGTACACTGGGGAGATCCCTGACTGCAGATTTTCCCAATGCAACTAATCTTTTTATTTTCTGGCTGCTGGTACAAACAGTGTTCACTGTGGGGCCAGCAAATTGAAGTTTTAACAATCTCAATGTCTTAACTGTCTATCATGAAGCTTCAAATTGTCCTAGTGAAAATCTTCATTTTCTTGATTTTTGACTTTCAATCCATACTGAAGGCTGCAGTCCTTGACCTTCTACAACAAGTGCTTCAGGTCCTACTCGGGTCAGAAAGCAAAATTGTGTCATCTCCATAACACAGGTTGTTGATGAGTCTTCCTACAATCCTAGTGCCATGTTGCTCCTCAAGAGCCAAGCCTCACAGACAATTTGTTATGCATATAGATTAAAAAGTTTTGGAGATAGCATACATCCCTGGTGTACACACTTCCAGATTTTGAACTATGGAGTGTTTCCTTGCTCTATTCTGACCATTGCCTCTTGGTCCAAGTTTCATATAATCACAATCAAGTGTTCAGGGATTCCCATTCTTCTCAGAGTTAGCCACAGTTTGTTGTTATCCACACACTCAAATGCCTTTGCATAGTCAATGAAACGGATAGACATTCCTCTGGTACTTGCTGCATTCAGCCAAGATCCATCTAATATTAGCTATAATATCTCTAGTACCACAGCTTCTTCTAAACCTATCGTGCAAATCTAGAGTGCCGGTAAGACAAAGCAAAGGGAAGAAATTAAGGAGCTGGGATGGTGATGGAGGTGGATAAAATAGTGTAATGAGCTGGAGGAGCAGAAATCTGCAGGCCACTAGAGATATCTATGGGCCACACAGAGACAAACGTGGTGTGACATGGACAGTAGGAATTTGAATCAGAACATTTATTAAAATAATTAGTTTGGGAGCCACAGGAGCAGCAAGCTGAGGGCCCCTGCAGAAGCTGCCAGCTGAGTCCCAGCCATAAGCTGTGGGATCCACCAGTCAGGACCAAGCAGATACTTTGGGGAACAAACTGCTGTCTGGTTTGACCACGCAGGATCCCTTAACTCAGGCAATAGAGAGGTCCTGGACCTCTCAACCGAGGTGAGAAGCCACTTCCAAAAGGCAACAACAGGCTTACTCCTTGGCCACTCAGGTACTTTGGTAAATAAACTGCTGTTTTCAAGCCCTTAGGCCAAGAATGAAGCATAAATATATAGGTGTTTCTTAAGACATTACTGTGGACCAACACAGACATTTGAGAGCTGCGGGACCTGCAAGCATAGGTGGTGTGCAGTGAGCCATAGTTTGGAGCAGCAAGCCACAGCAGGGATCAGGGAGCCGAAATGGGACTCACCTGCCAGGAGCAAGCAGGACAGTGGGAAATTGAGTGAGGTACTTAAGAGGGATCATAGCTGATTGCTGGACCAAATGTGGGACCCAATTACCTTAAGCAGGAAGGAGGGAGAAAGCTGGAGCTTGACAGGGGTGGCAGACCCAGTTCTTGAGGGAAAAACCAAGGCTTCCTGGTTTTCCATTCAGGTCTCCCTCACACCCTCTCCCATGTGCATCTGCATGCGTGTCTTGGCCACTGCCCCCCAGCCCACGTGTGTGTCTGTGTATGCACCCACCCAATATGCATCCTCTTGTGTGCCTGCCCAGCCTTCTTCTGGAGCAGTGACATCAGATCAAGAACTGGCTATCACCTCAGGTACAAAAACTCTACCACAGCAATGTCCAGAAAGAAGCAGACAACCTTACGCCTCACACAAGCCCAAAGCAAGACATCACCCCCTCCCAAAAATATAAAGTAGAAATGGATTTCCTGAAGCCAGAAAGTCTGATGGAACTCTCCGACACAGAATTATAATAACCATGATTGAATATTTTCAATGGGTGAAAAACAAAGTTAAAGAATTATAGGACTCTGCAAGCAAAAATAAGGAAGAGCTTAAAAAACCAATCCAAAACAATGTAGATAAAACTAACGAGGCATTAGAGGCACTGTAAAAACAAGAAATCATGATCTAGAATATGAGGTCCAAGGTTTCAGATACTGTCAACATGATGGAGGGACACATGAACAGAGTTGAAGAGATGGAACACAGAACCAGTGAAATAGAAGATAGAGTTGTCACCAAAACCAAGAATCAAAAAAGAAGGAAAAAGAAGAAAACTTAAGAATAATGTGGGACACCATCAAGAGAAATAGTATGCACATCATTGGAATCCCAGAACAGGAAGAAGCAACTAAAGGCACCAAAAAAGTTGTGGAAGAATTGCTAGAAGAAAACCTCCCAGTCATAATGAAGAATGAGAGAATACGTATACTCAAGAAGCTGAGCAAACACCATATAGAATAGACCCCCAAAATAAAAACACCAATGAGGGAGTTTTTCTTTTGCTTTTCAAGGAGAGGAGCAAATGGGGGGGGAGGGGAGAGGGGTTTCTGCGGGGAGAAGGGTGCAACAATGAATGAATGGAATCCCAAAATCTCTGTAGATAATCATTGAAATGAAAAATAAACAACCTAAATTTAAAAAACAAAACAAAACAAAAAAACCACCAAGACCAAAAAAAAAAAAAGTAGAAAGACAGAAAAAGACATATCATAGTCAAATTTGGCAGAACCAAAA